AAATTGAAACAAAATCTATTCTCTGCGCACTTCTTGAATTTGACGAAACGAAGACGGACCGATTTTTTTTCAAGAAAACCCCAGCTATAAAATCTATATCAATTAAAATGGAGCAGAACAAACTAAATGAATCGGTAAGGACTCGATAACATCGGGCGAATGTACTCGATGATTGATGGCGAATTCGCTTGCCGCGTGTTGAACGGGGACACTGTTCGCCCACGATAAAAGTCGAAGACCTGGCTACTTTTATCGTTACTCGTCGGCCAATTCACACTCCTCGTGTTTTCACTATTTCAATTCGTTCTTTGACAAAGATAGTACCGCAGATAACCTTATGGCCAACATTAATATTAATAAAACTCAATTATTACGCAACGTGTGCTCATGAAATCCGCGAGAGTAAATTCGCCCAACGTTATAGAACCTCGATAGGTTCGCACAAGCGTTATTGATTAGAACTAATGCGCACATTCATAATTATCTACGTACTTTATTGTTACAGAACAATAACCTGTGCAAGCAGCAACAGTGTAATAAACCGGAGCCTTGTAATCCGAAATTGGTAAGTAACATAAACGTTATCCGAATGACGGGAAAAAAAACTGTTAACGAATGTCCATACAAGCCGAATAAGGATGATAATTGTTTACTATTATCATTATTATTATACTCTTGCAAGCCGCAGTATATTTAACAATGTTTTTTTTTTTATTTCAGTGCTATAAGAAATACGTTCAGCCCTGCAGACCGAAGCCGTGTAAACCTTTATCGGTATGTACTTATTTTAACTAATAATACCCGATTAATGACTTTGCATCGTACATAAGTGTGGGGATGATGGGTTGATGAGCTCAGTCTTTTCAAATTAAAAATAATTAAAACCGTTTTTTTTTTATATTTGAGATCATTTTACTTAACACTTTGAGCCTCTCTCTCAAAACATATGTAAGCATTAATTGTATTTATGCTCTATATCCAGATGCTTAAAAGTGGAGAAAGTCGTGGCGAGAGATTGATGTGAATTTTTCATGTGGACATAATTGAATACGAAAAATCGTATTCAAACACTATCGCTCATTAAAATACATTAATTTTTAGAATTCATTCAGAAATGAAGGAAAAATCGCAGGAAATACGGTTTACAGTTCTTCTTACGCGACTTACGTCTGTGGATCGAGGCAGAAGCCGATAAAACAAAATGATCATTTGGTCATGGCCGGCGAATTTGACTGCTTAACAGTAAACAGGGTAAGCACCGATTTTTCTCTTAAAAGAGGCGTCTTCGCCGTGCACTGTGAAT